CACCACCCTCCGCCCCTGCCAGGCTTCTGACCAGGCCCCGCCTCCCAGCCTGGGAGTCCCAGCCAGTCCTCCCGCCCATGTCAGGCTTCCAGCCGGTGCCCAGCTGGAAAAATCATAGAATGCCGGACATTGCACGTGTCCAGTATTGTCTGATTTTTTTCACTGAGCAGAGGGCATGGATACTGGACACCTGGCAACCCTAATAATACAACCTGCCCCATGCAAATCTCTCTGTCAAAATCCCTTAGCCAGAGGCCAGTTCCTGCCATGAAATGGAGGATGTCTATCCTCTGCAATGCTCTGATCTATTTTAATATCTTCTATTCTAGCACTGAAAAGCCTCATTGTCCATGTAAATGACAAATCCTATTGATTTTTGCTAAACACTTGGTGTCACCTTATGGCAGTGAGTTCCACGAACTAATTGTCAATGTGTAGAAAAAACGATTAGCTATCCTTGCCTCCTTATAGTTTAATTTAGCGTCCCTCATTTTTGTATTAAGAGGGCATTACATTAACATTACAATTGTAAAAATCAAACACTCCTATGTTGTGGACACAAGATTTAATGTGATCTGTGCAACCTTAACTCTGTCCTCTTGTGCATTATGAGGAATCTTTAATTACAGGATCAAATACTCTTTATTTAAGACCCATTTACCAAGCATGCCTTGTTCCTTGAGGTCAGTCAGAGGTGGCAGTAACACAAGGAGTTGGACCACACCCTCTTTGGTTGCCATTTATTGAGGCTTACAGCTAGGCCCTCCAGGGCTGAACTCCAGTATCTCTCTCCTGTCTCCAGGTAAGTCCTTCTGCGAGCTAGATCTCAGTTCAAAGTTTCAGGCTTGACTTGTCAGGAGCTTAGCCTCTCGGCCTCTAGCTTCCAGGCCTTTCTCCCTGTCAGGTCACTAGCAGGAACTGGGGGCCTACTACTACCAGACAGACATTAACTGGCAGAAGCTCAGCCTGCCCCAGCCCTCTTATTCGGGCTTCCAGGCCCAAGCCCTTCTCTCAATCAGGGTCTCTAGCAGAAGCCTCCTATTCACTGCAACTCCTCTTTGGAACATCTGTGGGTCTCCCTGCAGGGGCCTTTCACTCACATTTGCAATCCAGCAGACAGACAAGGACACTCTACAGCCCTGTATGGAGCTTTTTAAATTCTGCTCCTAATATGATGGCAACGGGTGCTGCAGGATCCACGCCCCCTTCATTGCAGCCTCCTGCAGCTCGTCATAGGACAGTCAGCCTGATCCTTCCAGTTGTGGCTCATTCTGTAATCAGAAGTGGGCCCTCTAGCCCCAAAGGGATCCCCTTCCTAATCTCATGCACAGGAGGCTGGAGCACAGGCAGTGAGACACTGAAAAGTCTCACTGTTGAATAATTATTTTTATCCTCATCATTAATTGTATGGCTCGTTGCTTTGGTTAGGCACCATGAAAACCAAACACAGGGTTATTCACCACTACTATTTAGCCTTCTTTCACAGCATGATGGGCTATTAGAACTGGAAGAGACCTCAAGAAGTTATCAAGTCCAGTCCCCTGCCCTCACAGCAGGACCAAGTACCATCTAGGTTAGAGGTCGGGGGCCACTTTTTTGGGTTTGGACTCACTGATCCACAGAAAAATCAGTCAGGGGCCTCACACAAATGAGAAGCAACCCCGCCCCCCAATATAGCCCCAAAGTAAGATGGAGAATGACATTCCCCACATTCTCCTCACACACAAGAGCCTTGCAGGGCCCAGGCTAGTAGACTTTGTGTGTTCCCTATGGGAGGACAGCAGAGGAGCTGGAGCACCATGCAGACTCCCCATTGCTGTGGGGGTTGCCCCAAGCCTTCAGGGCTGGATCCAGACAAGCTGGGGATTCATCTGGCCCCTGGGCCTTAGATTCCTCACCCATGATCTACATTATTCATAATAGATGTCTGCTTAACCTGCTCTTAAGTATCTTCAATGATGGAGATTCCACAACTTCCCAAGGCAATTTATTCCAGTGTTTAATCACCCTGGGTATGTCTACACTACCCCGCTAGTTCGAACTAGGAGGGTAATGTAGGCATACCGCACTTGCAAATGAAGCCCGGGACTTGAATTTCCCGGGCTTCATTTGCATAAGCGGGGAGCCACCATTTTTAAAACCCCGCTGGTTCGAACCCCGGTGTACCGGTAGTTCGGAATAGGAAGCCTAGTCCGAACTACCTAGTTTGAGCCCCGTGTAGAGCCCCGCGCTGCACGGGGTTCGAACCAGCGGGGTTTTAAAAATGGTGGCTCCCCGCTTATGCAAATGAAGCCCGGGAAATTCAAGTCCCGGGCTTCATTTGCAAGTGCGGTATGCCTACATTACCCTCCTAGTTCGAACTAGCGGGGTAGTGTAGACATACCCAGGGTGATTAAACACTGGAATAAATTGCCTTGGGAAGTTGTGGAATCTCCATCATTGAAAATTTTTCAGAGCAAGTTAGTCAGGGATGGTCACGATGGTGCTTTACCCTACCAAGAGTGCAGGGGACGAGGCTTTGAGGTTCCTTTCAGTTATATAAATCTGTGAAATCTAGTTAATTAAAAAAGATTGTTAATGCTACAGCAAAGTATAGTACACACACCTTGTACAGATCATTGTTCTTAAATTACATGGCCATAACTTTGGGGTTTGTGACATCTCTGGCATTCTTCACTTAGGATTAGTTCTACTAATAGGTGTTCAGAGAAACTTTCAAGTTTTATTTCTTCATCTTCCAGACATAGGTCATGTTTTTTAGACCTTTTATCATTTTTGTTGCTCTTCTCTAGACCTTCTCCAATTTCTCCATGTCTTTCTTGAAATGTGGTACATGGAAATGGACACAATACTCCAACTGAGGCCTAATCAGTGCCGAGTAGAGCGGAAGAATGACTTCTCGTGTCTTGCTCACAACACTTGTGAATGCATCCAAGAATGCACATGAAACTGATTGTTCCTTCCTAAGTGGAGTACTTTGCAGTTGTCTGTATTAAACTTCATTTTATATACCTCAGACCATTTCTTCAGTTTGTCCAGATCATTTTGAATTATGACCCTATCCTCCAAAGCACTTGCAACCCCTCTCAGGCTATGTCTAAACTGCAGAACTTTTTCAAGGTATCCTGGAAATGCTCTGCCAAGTCCAAGGAATTCGTCTGCTTTTCTGAAAAAAAAATTCAGAAAAGCAGATGCGTTTTTTTGGCATCCCTGTAAATCTCATTCTACAAGAAAGAAGGGATGTTCCAAAAGAAGGCTTTTTTCCAACATTTAGCCCCGTGTATACAGGCCAAATGTCAGAAAAGCGTCTTTTTCAATCTTTTCTTTGTAGTGTAGACATAGCCTCAGATTTGTATAATCTGCAAACTTTATAAGCTTACTCTCTATGACATTATCTACATCAGTGCTGAAGATATTGATCAGAACCAGTCCCAAAACAGAACACTGCGGAATCCCACTTGTTATGCCCTTCCAGCAGGACTGTGAACCATCAATAATTACTCTCTGAGAACGGTTATCTGGCCAGTTATGCACCCACTTTATAGCAGCTACATCTAGCTTGTATTTCCCTAGTTTATTAATAAGAAGGTCACATGAGACCATATCAAATGCTTTACTAAAGTCTAGGTATACCACAAGCGCCCTTCCCTGTTATCCACAAGACTTGTTATCCCATTAAAGAAAGCTCTCAGATTGGTTTGATATGATTTGTTGTTTACAAATCTATGCTGGCTGTTACCTGTCATGTTATTGTCTTCCAAATGTTTTCAGGTGAATTTCTTAATTATTTGCTCCATTACCTTTCCTGGCATAGAAGTTAAGCTGACTAGTCTGTAGTTTCCTGGGTTGTTCTTTATAGATGGGCACTATATTTGCCCTTTTCCAGTCTTCTCTACCCTTCCCACACCCTCACCTCTTACCCTAGCCATGAGCCACCTCTTGCACTCCAACTCCTGCCCGAGTCTGCACCCTGCACTATGCACCAGCCCAGAGCTCCCGCCTGCACCCCAGCCTTCTGCCTCCGTTCAGTGAAAATGTGTGAGCACAGGTGAGAGACAGTGAGTGACAAGTGGGAGAGGTGATGGAGTGAGTAGGGGCAAGGCCTAGGCAAAGGGGCAGGGCAGGGGTGAGACATGAGGGCAGAGGCAGGGCATATGTGTTTTGTTTGCTGTAATCAGAAAGTTGGCAACACTAATTAAGGTTGCATTCCTAATTCTGACATTCCCTCATAGTTGAATGCTTGCAACCTTAATGGCAGTTTTTAATGTAAATTTTGTATTGTGATAAGAGAGAGAGACTCTCATTATCTGTCTCAGAAGTGTAGCTGTGTTAGTCTGTAACTGAAAAAACTTAAAAAACAATGAATGCTGCATAACTATTAGTTGTTTTTTAAGTTCTCCATTTAAGCATGAATGTAATCTATTCACTGGGTAGAGAGGCAGGTCTGGGTATCATGGGAATGGCAGCTTATCAGCTCTGATCTTTCCTGTGATTTACAGGCATAAATCTAAAACAGAAAGTTTAGTAGCATCTGTAAATATTTTAGGTGAGTTCCGTGTGATCCGATTTCCTAATGCTGATTCAGTATGATCACTGAATCTTCCTTTGGGATCCCAGCAATGCAAACCCTATTAGCAGGGGACAAAAGAGAAAACAAAACATTACCAGAAAAATCTTTCCTAAAATGTTTCATGAAAAGTGAACACTCAGCAGAGCTGAGCTTCCTGCATAGTGAGAGTTGGCCTGCAAGTTAACAGGAAATCACTGCTTCCTGCCTGCAGAGGAAGTGCCCTATCTAGTGTCTCTGATCAAAAACAAACAGCACTACAATTAAACAAACAAAGGGCCCAAAGCTCTAGCGGCTTGGAGGTCTGGGTCACCTCCAGTATTAGGGAAGTGAGTCCAAAAATAAAAAGCCTGTAACCTTGTAAAAGGCCCTTATCCTCTTCCCTTCTCACTGCTGTTCCTTCCATGGCAAATGCCCAAACCCAAGAGTCAGGGCAGCCTTGTTTTTCACATTCATGAGGTCAGTACTGAAGCTGAATAAACCAAGTCATACTGGCTGGGGCATTGACCAGCAGTGTTATTCCTGATTTAAACAACAGAAGGTTCACAGAGATGGGGGAACCCTACTGCTTGCAACCAGAGCTGCATTTAGGGTACATCGACATAGAGGCGCTATTTTGGGATAATGTCCATTATCTTAAAATAGCGTTCTGCGTGTCTTACCAGCACGCTCGTAATTTTGAAATATATTCAGAATAACATGCTTCTTCTTCCAGCTTCCTGTAAGCCTTTTTGCATGAGGATTAAGAAAGATGCCGGAATATCAATTTATTTTGAAATTAGCGGTGTGTAGACAGTCCCTTGTTTTGAAATAAGCTACACAATTTGCATAGCTCAAATTGCATAGCTTATTTTGAGGTACTCGCTACTGTGTAGACATACCTCTAGGCATCAGCCCTAAAGGGCCACAGGAGTTGTCAAATATTTTTTGTCAAGGTCAACATTTCTTGGTCAAGGTTTCACAAAGCCCTGGCTGGGATGATTTAGATGAGGTTGCTCCTGCTCTGAGCAGGAGGTTGAACTAGATGGTCTCCTGAGCTCTCTTCCAATCCTCATCTATGATTCTATTATTGTAAGTTATAGTCACAGCTAAGAGAAAATAATTTTAAAAACCAGCAGTAATGGTAATTATAAGTAAACTAGCAGATGTACCTGGCATTGCTCGGGTCCATAAGTTAATTAAGGTTTTTCTTTTTGTTTTGAAAATAAAAGGAAAATGTACATGCTTTATTAAAA